GCCTGCCCGCTCACTCCTCGTTCCGACCCTGCGACCTGAAAAACATGAAATGGCGTAGGGGCGTGAGCACTAAAACACTTTTGCTCCGCAGAAACTCATACTCATGTAAACATTGTAAATAATAACAATATCATGAACTAAGCATATATAACTGATCTAAAACTGAACTGATATCTGATACCGGTCTGATCTCGCGACATAAGTCACGTAACTGATAACTGAAATCTGTCGGCACAAACTAATACCGTAATCTCCCGGCACAAACTAATACCGGACCATGTGCACACTCTAGTGGTTAGATTAGGCCACTAGAACCCAGAATGGACCGACGACCATTTCGAGCGGATACTGAATATACATACCTCGAACATGGTAGCGTAATTATAAACAATGTAGTACTTAGTCTGAGTCCCCACCTGAACTGCTGAAACTGAACGGTAGTGCTGATGCCTGATCAAACTCCGATTATGATGAACTGACAACACTACTTCGGACTCCCGTGTTCGCGTGGCTCTCCGCGTGCGTGCGACGCCGTGCGGTACCTTGCGGCGTAGCGTGCGATGGCTTGCGGTACGTGCGACGGACTACTACAACAGTAGTAGATGCTTGCGTACGCCTGATCGTCGTGCGATGTGCTGACTGCCGTGGAGTGCTACTGCTATGCGTACGGATGCTTGCGGCTTATGTGTGTTGGCTCGGTACTTGCTAACTTGTGCACAACACTTAGAATTCCTCACTAATTCACTCAATCTAATATATGTATGTGAAGGATGCTGAAAGTTTACTATAGAAGAGGAAGAAAAATGGAGCAAAATGTCAAACTCCCCCCTTTTATACCCTAATGGCCGAAAGAAAAGGCTTGGAGATTTAACCTCCTAATGACACTTGTTACATGCTTAACAATGCTTAAAATGACTAAGCCTTTAATAGCTTGAAATAATGCCACGTTAAGACCTTACTAATGAAGAGAGTTTGGACTAAAATCCATTCTCAAGCATCACATAACCGTACGGCTTTTAGTAATTAAATAGAAAAATCGAACGGTTTTTAATACTAATCTTGGATTAATTAATACTTAATCCCTCAATTATGTTTAATTATTAAATTAAACATAATGCTTAATTACCAAAATTATTCTGAACGTAAACGGTACGTCGAAAATAATTTTCGGTAATTTCGGCTGAACTGACTGAAAATAAGTAATTCTGAAAATTAATATCGGAACTAAAAATATAATTTATACTGAAACTGACGGGATATTACACACACTATCAATTAATTGATTTTAAGCAGTAAGTTTTCTTCATCAAACCTTTAGATCCGCTGCGCATAGGTTTATGTTGAATGATTGTCCGTGATTTGTGCATATCGAGATCCTCATATGTCCCAACAATTGGTATCAGAGCCAGGTTACGATCCTGGGACCTGTGGGTTTGATGAAGAAAACTTACTGCTTAAAATTTATGTAGATCTGGCTGGCCCGAACAGTTGACCGCAATTCAAATCTTCTCGGAATCGAACAAACTTGACCAATCCAGAAAGCTGACGTCACGGCGAAGTCAACGGCGTTGACCGATCGGAAAACGGAGGTCTTACACGATCTCACGCGCGCGTGTAAGTCTCGGCAATGGCCGTAACGAGTCCTGAAAGCGGTCTTAGCGATATCTGACTCCTTAATCTTC